TTTCTTCTCCTCTGGCAATTCTTTCAACAGCCATCCTATCTTCCTTCCCCTTCCATAAAAGATCCATTCCTCCTTAAGTTCTAATGAGGTTTGTCCTGGATTCCACATGTTCTGTTTTTCCAAAGAAGTTTATCTGTCTTGTTAGGTTATAAATGGAGATCCAGTCACCGATGTAACTGAACACTCACATATTAGGAGTTTTACAGTCAGGGATATGTCAATTATTTGAACTGTTGCCCTCTGAGGCCAAGGTCACTTATACTAGATACATATGTATCTCTCCAACAATGAACCATTGGTAGTCTGCAGAAAACTGCTAGTTACACTGGTGCTGCATCTCTATGTTTCAAAATCTCTATTTCACAAAAGACAGCTAACTGGTAATAAGTACTTTCCTAATATTGCTTTGCCATATGAACAACTGTTGTAATTATCACTATGACGTTATGTGATTACACATATAAAGCAAAGTGGCTGCCCAATCATAAGTGGTGGGAATATGGTCTAACAGCCCATTTATTAAGATCCAGTCAGCAGCAGGAAAGATTTAGAACCCCAAAACTAAAGCACTTTTATATGGTTTAAATCTCTCAAATAGTTATGTGGAATGTAAGTACAGTTAGAATAGAGCCCGAGTTAATACACCAAATTTTAAAGACACCAGCATAACTACTGGTATTCTACAGCTGGGCTGCTATGTAAGCTTTTAAAACATAATGCCGTTATGCTTAGTAAGAAAAACATATTAATGTTAACAGTACATAAGAAATATACTAAATTGCGAACCCCCAACTACATATCAGCTCTATATTCTTTTCCAAGACGTATACAATTCCAATTATAGTCAGAGTTGTGCGTGTGATCCCAAAGGCAGAATTTTTCCCTTAAAGCGTTACTTATGTCAGCAACAATTCTTGTCCAGTAAAAAATTCACCTTAACATATTTTCTTCAATCCGCATCTACCGTATTTTAGCAAATATAACCTGCGGGTTATATTAGTTTTTACAAACCCCGCACCTCCCTCACAGGCTATACTCATGCACGAGTTATAAAGGGTTTTTTGTTTTTTGTTTTTTTTACTGTAAAGACAACAATACTGACACTTCCTTGAGAAAAGCAGCATATTTTAATTTAATAATAGAGAAAGTTATGGTAAAATTTATTAAAAAAAATCCACTCCTAAACAGACTTTTCGTTCACTGAATACTTTCTGCCTGCAGCTCTGTTTCCATTGTCCTTTGGAAAAGCCACTACACACAATTTAAAATCGGCCACGTATGATTTGCACTTAGGCATTTCTAAAAGCTTTAAAAAGATTGAAAAGTGTAAAGGTTTAAAGTTTAAAGATTTTAATTAGAAGTTAAAACCAATGAAGGAACAAATGAATTGAAAAGCGGTGTTGTTCAAAGGTGTTATATACACCCCTTACTGCTTGGTGTTATCAACTGCAGCTCATAAACAGTTGAATACAGGTGCTCTGCATTACCTTCATCAGCTGCAGCTCATTAACAGGTGATTACAGGTGCTTTATCCATGGAATCTCTCCTGTGGGCTATACAGGTTGGGGTTTTTTAACTCAAATAGCAAAAACCATGAGGTATATTTGGGGGGGGGGGCATATTCGCTGAAATACGGTACCCATACTAATGATAATCATGCACAAGAATTGAGGTAAATACCCAGCTTTTTCTCTTTACTGACACATTCAGTGCATTGTATTTGCTGTATTATTTAGAATAATTTAATAGTTTAGAAAATTAACACATGAAATCAAGGAGCCCTTACATGTGAAGGTAGTAACAGTTTCACCACAAAGATAAAAGCTGGTCAGAATTTTGAAATACACCAACAGTCTCTCCATACCTCCTGATATGCTGGCATATGAATCTCATGTAATTTTATCAAATATTTGATGCCATTTAAAACAACGTAAAAGACATTTAACTGCCAGATTTCAAAGTCCATGCATGGTCCTCAATAAATATTAGCAATTCCTATGGATCCCAATGATAGTGAATGCATGTAAACTGAGGGCAACATAAGGCTTTTATTTACCAGTGTGTTTAAGAAAAGTTTATACAGTAGACTTCCAATAATCCGGAATATATGGGACCTAGGTGGTGCCGGATTATCAAATATGCCGGATTATCAGGAGGTACTATAAACTGGTTATATATATATACACTGTATACATTATATACTGTATATAAAGTGTTCTTAACCTCTTTTATTGTACTGTATACTGTAATGTTTTAGGTTAAGTCTTTTTTACTCTTTTTGCTCAGTTCACCTGCTGCCGCTGTTACCTTGTGACTCATTTTTTGCCGAAGCTCACTCACTAGGCTCTTGCCGTTTTGATGCCGGACTATCAGGAGTGCCAGACTACTGGATGCCGGACTACTGGAGTTTTACTGTATATAGGTTATATCCAAATTTAAGTTTGTCAGTGGATTATCCAAATTTTTTTTTTTTTTAAAACACAATTCATATGCAAGACAGCTAAATTGTAGACTATAAGTTATCTGCCAAAATATAAGCAGTTAATGTTTTGTACCTGCTGATCCCAAATATAATTTTCAAAGAAATTATTATTAATTATTGAAATGTTAAATAGCAGCTTAGTGGAAGCAGTACATGAAATGATTTAGATATTGTCACTGAAAAAAATGAAGTGATAATATGGTATGTGTCTCAGATGTGCAATTATTACAAGCAAACCTCTCAGTGTAATGCAATTTGGTCTATAAAAATATTACAGCATTTTTAAAACAAGTATCACGATTACATGCACTAAAAACTAAGATTTATTGTAGCCACATAAATATACCATTTATCAAGAACTCTATATTGGTGCATTCCAAATAGTTACATGCTGTTCTTTTGTCAGAACAGTGACCAATAAGGCACACTCTAGGAGGAGGAACATTTTAACAGCTTTTACAAATGTAGATGTTAAAACTAATTTTTGCCAACATGAATTTCAGTGCTCAGTGAAACCTTTAGAAAAACTAAATCATGAATACATTTACCTGTTATACTTAAGGCCATTTTCTTTCACCTATAGCTATTAAAGATAAACGTCTTTAAGCAAGAATTTTTACACCTTGTTTAATATAAATAGCAGAAAATCATGATACAAAATAAGGAGGAATCTTTCATAACTAGCATTTTGCAGGCAGAGGCTAAATGAGTTTCCAAATGTAATAAATCCAATGTAAAACAAATTAAGAAGTCATGCTTGGAAAAGTTACATACCTAGTGTTAAATTTTCTACATCAAAACTATGGTATGATTTACACTGGGGTTTTGTCTACACTACCACACTTAAAGCAGCACAGCTGAACCTCTAGAGCATCTACACGAGCAGCACTATAAGTCAATGGGAAAGAGCACTCCCTCTGATTTAATTATGCTAGTCCCAAAAAGCAGTGGCAGCTATGTTGGCAAGAGAAGATCTCCCACTGACAGTCATGTCTACAACAGCACTCAGGTGGCATAACTGAAGTCACTCAGGGCATGGCTTATTCATACTTCTAAGCAATATTATATTGTTTTAAAGTCTAATGTGGACAAGGTCTGAGTACATCAGCATACAATCCATCTCATCTACAACTTACACCTGCAAACCCACGCCAAGGGAAGAATCCCACCTTTCAAAGCAAACATGCATTTATGTAGGAACATGGCCCAACAGCAATATCTGATATATAATCTAATATTTACTTATGGAAACACGCATAGCTGTTAGTTTCCAACCACTTATTTGAGAAAGTGGACATTTTAGGTTCAAAGCAATACCAAATAATATAGATAGTAAAAAGTGATTTAAATACATAGGAGGATAATTGTAGGCACATTTAATATAAAAGCATGGAATTTAGTTGTGCAGCTCCTATAAAGGATATATAGATGGTAAAGCACTCTAATTTTACCATGAAAGGAAAAATAATCCTATTGTACTTCTCTACAAGACAGGAGAAAATCTAAGTTCAGGAGTAAACTCTCTCATTAGGCAAGAGAAAATTTAGCGAATTTCTGAGGATGTACTCTTGATATGTAAGAGTTTAACCATTTAAATCAGGGGTGGGGATCAGGTCTGAGGGCCAGATATAGCCCTGAGCTTGCCTGGATCCAGTCCCCGAGGCTCAGGGCCCTCTCAGCATTGGGGAGTCCACACTGGTGCTCCAGCCCCCCTGCCGCCACAGAGGGGCTGGAGCACATAAACTACTAGGCTGGGCCCCCATAGGTCTGGTGTAGAAGTGGAAATGTGTGGAGTGTCTTTCTCCTTCTCAGTCTGGGGCCACATCAGGGAGAGGCTGGGGGATGTTTTTACTTCTCACTCGTGTGCAGCCCCCGACTGATTTTTCTGTGGGTCAGTGGCCCCAACCCAAAAAGGGTTCCCCACCCTTGATATAAAAAGGTAACTGATAAGCATCAGTGTATTGATTTCTGTTACACGTCGGCTCCCAGCTCTGCTCCCGGAAGAGTCAGCTTCCACTCTGCACTATGAGCTGTGCAGTATAAAGCCAGGGAGCCAGTCTGCAGCACGTGTAGGATTTTTAAGTTAAAAAAGTAAATGTTTTTTACATCCCTAACTCTTAAGCCTCTGATGATGACTAAAAGACATTTCTCGTAACAAAACTGCACTAAACGATTTCAATCTTATCCATCTGTCTGCTTTGCCCAGCATACAAAAAAGCTAACTAGATGGGTAAAACAATAAAAATAAAATTATATACAGAAGATGTAGCAGTGTTTCAGTTGAATCTGGATCAGTTGAATCTGGATCAGATCATGATATCTTTCAGAAATCATCAATACAAATTTTAGTGATACCCTTGTTTTGAAGTGCTTATTATGCAAATTAGACAAGATTTGCATGCTTCCAATTAGACTTATCTATACACATATATTAAATGTACAAGCACTACTGACTGCTAAGCTAATTTTCCACATTCTAATGGGATACTCAGAATAAAACAAAGTGTGACTGTTTTACCTTGATTAAAGAAGTGATCACAATTGCTCCAGCATTCACCATAGGATTGTGAGGCTTGTCTGTGAAATTAAAAAATTTCAATTAACATACATCCCAATGGCTGACGTTCAGACTTGTTTCAAACAAAATTAAAATCGGCCAATACATCCAAGTAAAAGTTAGACATGTTTTTGAAGCTATGGCTATTTTATTTTATTGTAATCATAAATTACAATACTGTTAACCAACATTATATACTTGAGCAACATATAGAGCTTTTTTTTTTCCAGTTTACAAGAGCATTGCTGTAGAACCTTTAGCATACTTCTCTTCATGAAGGGAGACACATCACAACACTAGATGACTTGACAGCTGCGGTGTACCACAGCCAAAAATCTTATGTGACATGCCTTTCCACTTTGCTAATAGGTGTATCAGTATCACTGCACTCTCTACATTCTGAATATGTCTTTTTCTTTTGTTACTGATCTAATACATACACTGCTCTGAAAACTGTGAAAAAGCTTATTCCCTAACTTGTTCTAAGTTACATTTACTGGATAACAAATCTATTATCCATACATTAGGAAACACGTGGCTAAACACCACATTAATTGATGTATGAACGCAGAATCTTTCAAGCAATTGTCAAACCCAGATTGTATATATACACACATAATAGATTTTATTAGTGAATCCCTGAGTTAGCTGTAAGAGAAGTAAAATTGGTAATAGGTAGATGCCATTGACTTGCTACTATTTATATACTAACTACACAGGGAAAGCTCGCAAATTTATTCTAGCTAGCACATTTAATGAGAGCAATTATGTAATACTGATACTGGTTTCAAGAGTGTATATTAATACCACAGACAGAACTAATGCCTATTTTTTAAACCAAGTGTCCTCAGACTAAGTGAACATAGCGTACTTAGGCTTCCGACTTGTATTAAACAAATACTAACATGTCTGACTTACTCCATGGGGTTCTGATAAAAAATTAGCACTAAACAAAACTAGCATAGATACTAAATAGATTACAAATTGATCTAAAAATGTTTTTATGCAGTGATTCTCAACTCTGGAGTCTCGTGGGGGGTCATCAACCTATCTAGGTATTTGCCTAACAGTACAACTGTCTACATAAAAAGAACTGGCTACATGAGTACAAATTAAAATGTTATGCAGTGAATTGGTTCGAGAAGTTCAATCTGTATATAGAAATAAAACCCGATCTGGCCTCCTCCCATTACCTGTCACCTGCCACCCAATACTGGAACTCATACAGGGCATCAAATTATAAACCATAATTGATGGGGACCCTATTCTGAAAGAACTGTTTTCTGAACCCTCTCTTGTGGCCTCCAACTCCCATACCCCCGACTTAATCAGGAACAAGCTCCCTACAGACAACAAACACCAAATTCAACTGGCACCAGACCCTTCCAAAACAAAATCTGAAGACATACCTCTACTGCTGCAATGATGAATGCCCATCCACCCCCAACACACCTTTCAAGATCTATGGCTCCTACACACATGCAACACAACAAGTTATATTTGCTGAGTGCATATATACATCTCCCAACAGCTACTAATGAAACTTGACGATCAGTCTCAAATGCACTCTCACAGGAAAATGATGGAAAACAAAGAACAGTCTACCACCTGTGGGTGAACACTTTTTACAAAGTGATCACTCTATACCTGACCTTTCAGTCCTGACACACAAAAGAAACCTGCACACTTTCAAAAAAAGACAACCCTGGGAAGCTTAAATTCATAAGTCTGCTAGTCATAAGTCAAAAATCATGAACTAAATAGAGACAATGGATGTAGGGCTTACTGCAACAATCTGTGAATCATAGAAGACGAGGACTGGAAGAGACCTCGAAAGGTCATCGAGTCAAGTACCCTGCCTTCATGGCAGGACCCAGTACTGTCTAGACCATCCCTGATAGACATGTATCTAACCTATTCTTAAATAGCTCCACAGATGGGAATTCCACAACCTGCCTAGGCAATTTATTCCAGTGTTTAACCACTCTGACAGTTAGGAACTTTTTCCTAACGACCAACCTAAACCTCGGGAAGTTGCCACAGGGCCTGGTGATTCAAAAGGCCACCCGAATGCCACACAGCATGCTCCAGGAGGCACTCAGGGATGACTGAAGGGAGCTAGGTGTGGTGCTCTCAGTATAGTGCAGAAGACTAGCTGTCCTCAGCCCTGCCTATTCTGCCTCAGGCTCCATTCCTTTCTGGAGTGCAGAGCAAGGTCTCTCCTCCTTACCCAGAGGTCTGGCAAGGCTGTTGGCCCCCATGGCTACACAATAGATGAAGATTTAGACCCTGATAATAAAATATGTGAACTGTAGGTCTACAAATGTAACTAAAGTGAAGTAAAGGGTTTAGAAAACCTTAGCAAAATAAGTTGATGTGACACTTAGCAAAAATGAAAACACTCTGTAGGAGCATTTTTTGTATAGAATATATCTTATACAAGCAGTAAGTATATACATTTGTTCATGTACTATACAATTAAAACTCACATTTCACAGAATGAAATAAAGCATTATGCAAATAAAAATGTATATACATTGCTATTAGTGGAGCACTTTGCATTTGTCCTTCTAAAATTTCATCCTGTTAACCTCAGACTATTTCTCCAATTTGTCGAGATCATTTTGAATCATGACCCTATCCTCCAAAGCAGTTGCAACCCCTCCCAGCTTGGTATCATCTGCAATCTTAAGAAGTGTACTCTCTATGCCAATATCTAAATCGTTGAATATTGAACAGAACCGGTCCCAAAACAGACCCCTGTGGATTCCTACTTGTTATACCTTTCCAGCAGGATTGTGAACCATTAATAACTACTCTCTGAGTACGGTTATCCAGCCAATTATGCACCCACCTTATAGTAGCCCCATCTAAGGTGTATTTGCCTAGTTTATTGATAAGAATATCATGCGAAAATGTATCAAACGCCTTACTAAAGTCTAGGTATACCACATCCACCGCTTCTCCCTTATCCACAAGACTCGTTATCCTATCAATGCTAAAGTAGGACTTCATCCATCCCAAGAAAGCTTCAGCTAGACAAGATTGTGACATGAGGTGAAGCTGTGGTACTCCTATCAGCTTACCAGTGGGGCTCAACTTGTGATGAATCCAGGCTCTGATAGACCAAAAGGGAGCACGGTCCAGAACAGAGCACTTTTTCCAGTCTTCTGGAATCTCTCCTGTCTTCCATGATTTCCAAAGATGATAGCTAGAGGCTCAGATACCTCCTCGAGTATTTTAGGGTGCATGTCATCAGGCCCTGGAGACTTGCAGACATCTAACTTTTCTAAGTGATTTTAACTTCTTTTTTGATTTTATCTTCTAAACGTACCCCCTTACTACTAGCATACACTATGTTAGGCATTCCTTCATCAGACTTCTTTGTTTCGGACTTCACCAAGAAGTCATTAAGTATCTCTGCCATTTCCAAGTTTCCTGTTACTGTTTCTCCCTCCTCACTGACCAGTGGGCTACCCTGTCCTTGGTCTTCCTCTTGCTTCTAATATATAGAATGTTTTCTTGTTTCCCTTTATGCCTGTAGCTAGTTTTAGCTTGTTTTGTGCCTTTGCTTTTCTAATATTGCCCCTGTATTCCTGTATTGTTTGCCTATATTCATTCTTTGTAATTTGTCCTAGCTTCCATTTTTTATAGGACTCCTTTTTTATTTTTAGAGCATGCAAGATCTCCTGGTTAAGACAATGCTGTCTTTTGCCATATTTTCTATCTCTCCTATGCATCAGAATAGGTTGCTTTTGGGCCCTTAATAAAATGTCCCTTTGAAAAACCTGTCAACTCTCTTCAGTTGTTTTTCCTCTCAGTCTTGCCTCCCATGGGACCTTATCTATCAGCTCTTTGAGGTTTCCTGAAATCCATTGTCTCTAATTTGTAATGCACGTGAGAGAGAAATGTGAGTGAAAAGGGAAAGGAACCAGATTTTCTGTTTGGTCTAGAGCGGTGGTCACCAATCAGTAGATTGGGATCTATTGGTAGATCTTGGAGCCTCTGACAGGTGATCATGATTTGTTTGGCCAACAGGCTATGAAGTGCTGGCTTTTCAGCTGCCCCTCTCCCTTACTACTGCACATGTCCTGCCCTTTGTCTTGGAGCTGCCTCCCCTCATTCCCAGGACCCTCCTGCTTGCTGAGTAGGGCAGGGGAGGGAGAAGAGGAGCCATGATGTCAAGGTACCCCCTTCTCCCACCCTGTATCCTATGTCCACAGAGCAAGGCAGGGGGCACAACAGGACTCAGAATGGAGTTTGCTGGCTGCTTTTGGAAGTGGTACAGGGCCAGGGCTGGGGCGAGTCTGCCTTAGCCCCACTGCACCACCACCCAGGAGCCACTTGAAATAAGCAGTGCCCAGTTATAGCCCACATCGTGAAACATTACCCCAGGTCATAAGCCCCCTCCTGCAATCCAAGCCCCTGCCCAAGTCCCGAGCACCCCTGCATCCAAACACACTCCCAGAGCCTGCATCTAGAGCCCCTGCCGCACCACAACTGCCAGCTCCAAGCTCGGCTCGGAGCCCCTCTCACACTCTAAATCCCTTAATCCAAGACCAGAGACTGCAATCCCAACCCACATCCCTGCATGGTGAAAGTGAGAAAGAATGGAGGAGGGAGAGATGATGGCAAGAGCAGGGGCAGGGCCTCAGAGAAGGGACAAGGGTATTTGGATTTGAGGAAGATCTTGGATTGCACTTAAATTCAAAAAGTAATCTTGTGCTTAAAAAGGTTGGAGACCACTGGTCTAGAGCCTAGTGGGGAGGACCCTGGCGCCTGCAGTCAGGGGTCAGGCTCCCCACACTCATCTACAGTGATGGGGAGAAGCGGAGCAACACTGCTCTGCTCCCCTGGCTCCCAGCCACTTCATTCAAGGAAGGGGCAGGACCACCCCCAGCACTCACCAGTGGGAAGTGGAGCAATGCTGTTGAGACGGGGGAGCAGAGCAAGGCAGTGCTACGCCAGGTGGAGAGAGATCAGAGGAAGAGGCAGGGCAAAGGCAAAGCAGGAGCGATGG